GTTTAAAATACGTTTGTTTTTGCTGGAAAAATACAGAGGGTTTCATGTCGGCCCTGCGTGCCAGGTTTGGGCAATGGCACAGCCGATGGCGATGCTTCAGAGCTGAAGGGCTTGATTGCTGCTGCCGAAACCTTCACCAAATTGGCGGAACACTTGAAGGGAAAGCATATCACTTGGCTGCGACAGCTTTTGAAAACTGATGCTGCTGCTCATGAGGATCTTGGGTCGATGTCCGTGACCAATCGTTCGATGCTTGAGTTCGAAGCAGATCAACTGCTCCGAGGCTTGGTTGCTTTGAAGGAGTTTAACGCGAAGAGGGAATCCATGAACGCAATGATCCTGACAAGCGGTGACGAGCTGAACGAGTTTTGTTCTGGCTACGTGCCCCTTGCCAAAGCCATGGAGTCTGATTCGCAGTGTGCAGCGCTGGGAGTGGAGAACGGTTCTGAGCTTGTCGCTGCCGCTTCTGCTGTGATTGAGCGCTCCGCCCGGAAGCTCACGGAATCCCTCATTCAGGCAAAGACTAAAATCACCGACAGCCCCATGTTCGGCCGCCAGCAACGTCTGGCCGAGTTGCTCAAGTCGGATGAGTTGGAGTCTGACAAGATGAAGGCATTGCTCCCTACTCCGGATACTTACCAGCAAGACGAAGTGTTTATGAGTCACGTATCTCAAGGCGCGGGGTATTTTCAGCCAGGATAGGATAGGATAGTTGAAAAAACACTTCCACGCGGTTCAGTCAGGTTCAGTATGTGTTGCGCGCGTCTTCTAGATTCAGATTTGTTTTCGTGTTGGTTTACTGTTTACTGTATTTTAACAGAAGATGTGGCCGCACAGGCTGCGTTGATCTGAATAAGTTCGAGCAGGCCATCCGCCTGGCTTCAACATGGCTCACCTCCAAGGAGGTCTCACGTGGCAGTGTGGGAGATGCCATTGGTGAGCTCATGACGCAGTTCAAGACAGAACCCACAGGCAAGCAAATTTCGCAGAACATTTGCAACATGTATGCAGCTGATTTGGTCGTCAACTTCGATGCCAAGACCCTGGTTCAAGAGCACCAGAAGTTTCACAAGTTCATCACAGGCACCTTGAATGTGACAAAGAAGGAGTTGGGCAAGGTGCTGATGGATAGGTTGGACAAGTTGGTGAAGGAGTGCAAAGAGAAGGACAGTGGAGCTGAACACCTTCCCATTCGCTTTGTTCCAAGGTTTATAATTCCGCCGACATTCCGGTTAATCAAAAAAAAGACATGGAAAAAATGCTGTTGGTATGGAAAATTCATTCGTCGTTCCTTCTGACACGGTTTTCCGGACGCTTCCCCATTCCGATTCCTGATCAAAATAAACTTGACTGCCGCTTCAGGACAAGACCAAGAGGGTCAGTGACTCACTGGCATCACAAAGTGATGCAGAATCTATGGCACCGCCGAAGACGATTCCGACGGCCAAGAGGACCCGGAAGACTGGAAAAACTGCCGATACCCAGTCTCAGAACTGAGAAGGCAGCATACAGCTGCGAGAATGGCCCTTAGAATTTTTGGCTCTGACGCTGGTTCCTGAGACTGACCCACACAAAGCACCATGGCCCATAGCCGTACAGCCGTGTAGGCCCATAAACTCTTTTTATAACAATTTCGTAGCAATTGACAGGAGCCAGATGCATTTTTCAATTGAATTGGGGCGCCATACTTGATGGCACTCCCGCCTGGGTCGGCTGAAAACAAGCCACGATTCTTGGGCGGTGGATGCAAGCATGTTTTTCAGACGTGCTTCATCCATTAGATTTAGATCCGTAGGCTTCCAACCACGCCACGGAGTACAGAGATCAGCGATCAATAGACAGTGCAGCGCACCCTTGCCTTTGGCCAGTACAATGGCCATATGTGGGCGGCAGGGTGCGAACTAGCAGACGCAGCAAAAAGTGGCAGGTGAGGGATCGGGATTATGATTGTGTTTTAGCTCCGTTCCGATTCCCGTGCTATGCGTTGCAAAGTCGGTCAACCGAACGCCTAAAGATGTTGAATTGCACCGGTAATTTTCCAGGACCTACCAGACAAGCCCATCGGGGGATTGCCTAGCACTTCACAGCAAGAGGTTCGCCGGAACAAGAGAGAACAAGCGATTGGAAGCATTCCGGACTCCGTGTTTTGCGAGCGCTTTGGCCCGATTCGGGTTCGGGCTCAGATTCTTTCTTTGGTGGGGAGATGGAGTTTTTTCTAGATTTGCTAGGGATCTTTTCTGCAAACACAGGTGCCTTGCCAAGCCTTAACTTCTGAGGCACGTCATTTTGGGCAAAAGGCAGGATGGACGAAGGAGTGTGGCCGCGTGTGATCAGGCCTTTGGAGGAGTGGACCATCAACATGATCTATCATGTTGTGAAGAAATCTGGGAGGGATGTGGACAAGACCTTTGTGGACATCTCCAAATCCTTTGAGCGAGAAGCCTGGCGTTCTGACGAGTTTTCTCCTCCGCCTCCTGGCAAAATGCTCCACGCTTGGCCCGATTCGGCGTACTTTTGAACATTGGCAATGCTGAAGGCATTTTATGGCCAAGCAATGTGTTGAGTTGAGTTGCTCCCGGATTAGAGAGGTAGAGTCAGAGCATGATCCCAAATTCTGCTCCGGCTCATGTTCATTATTTCCATTCAGGCTCACGACGAACTCCCGCATCTATTGCTACAAGCGGGGGAGGCTTTTGTCTGGAGAGGAACTGCTCAGCTTGCACCTGGAAGGAAATAGAACTAGACTAGAACTAGAACTAGAACTAATTGAAATGAATTGAAATGTGTGAGTGAAATGGCAGAAGGGGCACAGATTGCATTTAGAAACATACCGTGTCCCTGAGGGAAATTAAGGCCTAAGGCTGTGTCAGCGCCCGTCTTTTCTGTCCCGCTTCCCAGCTTCCCAGGCATGGCTTTGACCTTGGGCGGCTGAAGATGAAGCGCTTCCGCAAGAGTGGATTGTATTCCCTCCTCTGCGGCAATTGTATGTCGGTGCCTGTAGTTGGAAGTGTCTTGCAGGCGGTTGCTTTGCTGCACTTGAGGTGCCAAAAAAGTAGCTGGAGTGAGTCGCTGATGTGATGATGTGATGTGACCAAATTTGAATCTTGAGTTTGAAAGAGTTGTTTTGATATGCTTTGATCGACTGAGGTGCTGATGTTCGCTGATTTCGGAGAAGACAAGCGCCACTTGTTGATCGCTTCCCAGCCATCTCCAGAGCGCCTGCTTGGCTCTGAGTTCTGGTTTCCCCCCAGCCAAGAAACTTTGGTGCTGGGGGCGGGAAATTCGGCAGATTCACAAGAATCTGAACTTGAATCTGAGTCTGAGTCTCACTCGGATTGATGGGATTGGCATTGGTAGGTTAGGCGATGATTTTTAGGAGCAACTGGCACTAGATTTGTTGAATCCAATCTCTCAATTCAGTTTACAGTTTACTGTTTACTGTAGGCTGTCAGTTGTAGGCTGTAGGCTACTACTACTAGGCTACTAGGCTACTAGGCTACTAGGTGATAGTGATTGCTTTTTGTTCTGTGGCCTGGCCCTGCCGATGCATCACAGATTGGAGAAGCAGTGCGTTCCAACTGCGTGGGGAAAACCAGCTGACTTCGGTGGCTTGCTTCGTTATTGATCTGTGAACTTAGCTTGTTCTTTTTTCATAAGATTGCTACTGACCGTCCCCTTCACAATTTTTGCCTTTCCCTCCCATAGTTTTCCTGCGCTTAATTCAATTGGGTGAATTCCCGCCGGCCCTCTGCGTTAGCATATTCAATTTCTACCCAAGCCCTGCCACCCCTCCTTGCCATTTGTTTTAATGCTTCAAATCAAGCCTCGCCGCCCCCCTTTGCCACCTTTTGATGCTTCAGCTGTGCTCTAGCCACCCCCCCTTGCCACCCTCTTGATTCTTCAGCTATGCTCTAGCCACCCCCCCTTGCCACCCTCTTGATGCTTCAAAGCAAACTCCGCCACCCCTCCTTGCCATCCTTTTGATGCTTCAAATTGAACCTCGCGGCCCCTCCTTGCCATCCTTTTGATGCTTCAAATAAGCTCCCGCCACCCCTTCCTGCCGTCATTTTCCTTGCGACGACAACTTGCAACCAAATCCTGCCACACACCTCTGCCACGCCTTCTTGCCGACCAAATCTTTGATATGTTAACTTTACGGCGCCAACATCAACTTATACGGTTGCTGTCATCCAAACTCGGCTCCAGGAACAATGCCCACAGATGCAACTTGATGCGCAGGACCTTCCTGACACCCAGCCGGAGAAGCAGTCGGCCGCAAGCCCACCAGAGCCCAGCTCATTCTGGGACTTGCTGAGACACCAAGAGCACCATTCACCACCCAAGGACAAGCGTCATTTCCACGAAACCTTTTGATATTAAAAATGCGCCAAGTGCGCTATGTCCATTTTTAAGCGTGCAAAGGAGGACACTTGTTTTGCCTTTGTCAATGGCCTTTGCATTGATCAAGCTTTCCCTGAATGCCACCAAGGGCATCCCTCCCATCGGCTGTGGCAAACAGGCATACGCATCCATTGCCTGTCATGTGGCCTGCAGGCCCACCTGGACATGGAACAGAGATTCATCCTTGGCGCCAATTTGAAGAAAGAATGCAAAGGAGCTGCCATCCATGGTTCTCCAAACATCCAAGCCACGTTCCAAAAGCAGCAATCAGCACACCACACTGCCACTGAAGAGGCCACGCCACCAACCCCTGCGGGTCGAAACAACACACCTCCACAAACCAATGACCCCGGCCAGCCTGTCACTAGCTGCTCGTCATGGAGAAATCCCCTAGGCCAAAAAGGCCCTCGCACCAAAGTTCAACTTTAGGAAAAAGTACATACATACATAAATACATACATACCTACCTATCTCCCTGCCCTGCCCTGCCCTGCCATGCCATGCCATGCCATGCATGCATGCATACACACATACAGAGTATCTGCAATTTGTGCCGGTTTCTACTTTTGGGGTCCAAAGTTGTCGGCAGTGCGTGAGAGGCCCAAGCTGCCATTCGCGCAGCTCAAGATGTGGTTGCTGCTGCTCATGTTTCAGCCTTTGCATTCTTGTCTTGTCCACAACAAGTTCAAAAGAACATCTTACAAACTTTGCAGACCTAGACACGTATTAGTGGATATTCTTGACATTCTTCACAGAGCTCTTGCAGGGCACAGATCCTGCTGGTTCCACAGCTTCTGGCCCTGTGGGAGCAAACCTCTTTGTGCCTAACCCAGCAGTGACTCACACGGCTTCCATGGTAGTGGCGGCGGTCGCATCACGTTCACAACACTTTGAGGTGTACCACATCCCCAACAGTTGGGATGATCGTGTGAAACTTAAAGACCAGCAAACACAGTGCATTCTACAAATACTCTTGTTTGTTTTTGCTCCCCATTCTTTTTGCCACACTGGTGGCAGACATTCTACGTCAACACTTTGAGCACTTCGGCAAGATTTTGAGTTGCAGGCTTGTTCATTTGTCAAACCAGTTTTTTTGCTATGTCTTATTGGTGTCTTCTATATGTGACGCATGTCCATGAATACTATATGCTCATTGCATGTTCACTCTTTTCGATTGGCAGGGTCCAGAAGGATGATAGTGGACGACCTCGTGGGTTCGGCTTTGTCTCCTTCGATGCGCCGGCATCTGCTCAGGCATGTCCAGAGAATTCTGTGTTGACTCAGTTTGCTGCGCTTCAATCAGCGCTGAGGCTGCCATTGCAGGGATGTGCCTTACTGAGTCATGGTTCCAGTGTCTATTTTTTGTTTTGCCTGATACTCAAGGCACGGTTTTCCCGTCGAAGGGAAGTGGCTGAAGGCAGGACCATGCAGAACCATGAAGCTCATTCAAAAAATGCAGCTTGTAATTTGCAGGTCCAGCTCAAGAAAGGAGACGAGCAGCAAATCGAGCAGGCAAACATGTTTGCATGTTGAAAGAAACGAAAAAGCAAGTTGCCGCCATCAGAGATTGCAGGCCAAAGAGCAAGTGGGAAGCATGTGCTCGGCTCAGTGCTGTTTGCTGTTGCGAGTTAAGTTGTGGTCTTTCCACTGAGGCCCGGCATTACTGTGAACCAGGTCAACCATGCTAGTGAAGCTGTGAATAGGGAAGAAAGCTGTTTTTCATTGTTTTCACTACTTGTCAAAAGCAAGAGCAAACATCTGAGTCTGGGGAGGTCACGCCAGCAACCCCGCCTCCGCTGCGCACTCAAATTTGATGCCAGCACTGTAGTAGCCGGTGATAGCGTCAAAATGCGCAGTTGTACGCTGATATAGTTGTTTGCCCCACAAGAGGCTATATAAATATATAGATCTAAATTTATGTATCTCTTGGATTCAAGATTGTCAAGATTCCTTGTAAACATGTCTGGGGATTTTCGAATCTAGAATCCAAAACTATCCCGGCAAGAGACCCCAAACAGTGTTCGGAAAACCAAAGCAATCAGATACTGGCACCCATATGAGGGCACATATATGAGAGTGCAGAGTGCACATACAAGAAGAGCACACATGGAGCACAATTCGAAGAGCACACACATGAGAGCGCAGATCTGAGAGCGCACGCGCACACACACACACATGGACGTGTAAGAGCACACGAATGAGGGACCACATCTGAGACACGGGGTCACGCACACATTCTTTTAGAAGCGCGCTTCAGAGCACACTTAAAGAAGCGCCGCAAAATCTGCACTTCGAGACTCACAAAATGCTGCGCTTGCTGTGCCCGCTGCGAAATCTGCACCTTGACGCTCACAAAGTGCTGCGCCTGCCATGAAATCAGATTCACATCGTGACGCGCTTGCCAAGGCATTTCGCAGCAAAAGCGTGTTGAAAGACAACATCAAGATACCAAAACGCAGCTTTCGCTCGATAAATCCTCCAAATTCTGATAACGAGCCACATGTCCAAAGGTCGCGATTCATGTCCAAAGCGCGCGGAAGACCATCACCATGTCCAAAGTATTGCACCTGCCACGAAATCTGCACACCTCAGTAAAACCGCTCCGATCCCCGGCGCCTGCCATGAAAAGCCGACTTTGGACCTAAACACGAGGTTTCCCTTGCGCCGGTCACGAAAAGTGCCACCAAGCCCGAAAACGCGCACAGAGCCACAGCGAGAGCGTCGAGGAAGGCGCCCACCAGTTTCTGCGAGCCTGCGCAGTCGAAGTGCACTTCGAAGATCTCGAAAGGCGCGAATGACACGGATGCGAGCGCCTCGATCAAACGGCCGGCTTTAAGTATTACCGGAAGAACCCTCAGTGCTACCACATCGCTTTGGTGAAAAACGTGTTTTTTCATGTTGTTAGTCCGGGACTCCTAAGAAAAGTGGGCATGCCAAAAATAGTCCACCGATTGAGCACTTCCAATCGCGTATAGTCCGTACTAGTCAGGGGATTGCACAGGCCCATGTGTGTTGCATCGGGGTGTTGTAGCGCCCCACGTTTTGAACTTGAGAAAGAGAAGCAGCAAGGTGAGAAGCAAACAAGATAAGCCCCTCCCTTGGACTAACCAATGCTCCGTGCTCTCCGTTTTTGCTATCGCCTGTGATCCTCCACAGCACCTCGGCTGCAAGACACGGAAAACAGAAAAGTTCCCTCCTTTTATGTGGTTCCAAACTCTATTCTGGCAGAAATTCTTCGAACCATACTGGTGCCGGACAACTGTTGCGCCCCAATCCTGGCAATATACTTTATAACTTGTTGGTCGGCCTGAAGCTGACAGGGAGATGATCTTCCCGTGTTGTGTCTTCCCGTCTTGTGTTGTTTGTGCTATATGTCATATCTGAGCTCCTCCTCTTCTTATTCGGTTCTGTCCCTGCTGATACTAGTAGCTTACCCTTCCTTTTTCCTCAACAAGGACTGCCTAGTCTCGACAGGCTTGCCTCTTGCTCGAATATTTTTCTTGCTTAACTCTTTCTATTTGTTTTCTTGAAATTGAGAATCCAATAAAGGATCAAACAAAACAGTGAGACATTTCCTGCTGTACTGTGAGGCCAGCTCCGCCTCCTCCAGCACCACCTGCTCCTCCAGCTCCTCCAGAGGCGCTTCCCTCAAAAAACCCTTGGCACAGATGCGAAACGAAGAAAGGCACGATTCGCATCGTGGGTTGGTTTACTTTGCGATTGGAAATTGACCACCTCTTTACACCGTGGTACTCGGCCCCAGAACGTAAGGAAACAAGTACAGTATCTCTGACGAGTACTGGCATACTTTTGGTAATTGTCGAGGTGGTGGTTGCACTTTAAGTGTGAATCAAGCTGAGCTTTTGGTAATTAAGTTGTGCTGCGTAGTTTGTGGAGGCAAGTTCTACAGTAGGTTCCGGGTGCGGAGCAGGGATGCAGTTTGGGCGGAATTTCTGGAGCTTGCGTGCCGCCAGTTCAAATCCTGGACCAATATTCGAGCCAATTTTTGCAAGTATTCTGCGCTGACGTTGTCATGGCGTAGTGGCGTAGTGCTGAAGTGTCATTATGTCACGCTGGCATGGTGTGATGCTGACATGTTGCCATTCCATCAGGCTGCCACGCTCACATGGTGTGCGCGGTCACGTCGACGTTGAACATGTGCCACTTTGTCATACTAACTTGCAAACATGGTGTCGCGCTGACGTGCTGTCGCTGCTAACATGTTGAGGTGCTGTCCCCATGCGCTGACATTCTGTCATGATGGTGTGTTGACATTCCAACATGCTCTACATGCTGGCTGTCACACTGAGGTGTTCTCAGGCTGTCCTGCTCACACTTGTCATGCTGGCACACTGACACAGGTGACGCTAACTTGCTGACAGTTGTCAACCTGGAATGTTGACGTTGAGTCATGCTGTCGCAGTGACATGCTGACAGGCTCGAGAGCGAGTTCCGAAGCAGGTTCTTGTTTGTTGCAGCGCTGTCATGCTTGCGCATATGTGGGCACGCATATCGCCAGGTGATGCTTGCATGGCACATTGAACAAAACGGCGTCTTGCAAAGCAACCTCTTGTTTGCAAAGACCCAACGCCTGGTAATGAGTTTGCCATGTTGGCATTGCTGAATACGCGAACTCATGCCAACTGTTGTTTTTTTTCTTTGGACTTATATAATCATGGTGGTTGGTTGTCATAGCGAGACAAGTTGCATTGTTTAGTGAAAGGGTTACTGTGAACAAACCAAACAGTTTCAAAAAAACATCTCTGATTGCACATCCGACCACACGAAAGGCTGGAAAGATGACAAGCCAAGCCCTTACAGGCTGAAGAGGGTGGGATACAAGAAGTCTGCAACAAGAATTGCTTGAGGTCCGGGTGAGAAAGGGAAGAAAGGCTTTGGCAAAGGCCGAGAGAAGTGGAGCAGTGGAGAGACCATTAGATCGTGAATAGCTGTGCAATTCATGCACACGACAGGCGATGGGAGCAAGGGCTTTGATGGTGGCAAGGGCTTCGACGGTGGCAAGGGTTTTGATGGTGGCAAGGGCTTTGGTTGTGATGGTGGGAAGGGCTTTGGTTGTGATGGTGGGAAAGGCTTCGGAGGTGACGGAGGCAAGGGCTTTGGATTTGACGGCAAGGGCTGCTACGACAGCAAAGGGGGCCAGGGATGGAGTGAAGGCAAAGGCTTTGATAGCTTTGGCGACGGGAAGGGGTTTGGCAAAAAGGGTTTGGCAAAAGGAAACTTTCGACCAGGCGAGCTGGATGAGTTTTTTGCGGAAACGCAACTGAGTCAGTTTTTCTGAAACAAGCTCATGTTGCAAAACCAGGCCCCTACTGAGTGCCTACTTGCCAAATCCTCACCGTCTCACTCAACTCCTTGTGGCTCGGCCTTGCTGAAAAAGACTGTCGTCGCCAAAGTGTGTTGCCCACGTATATGTTACATAGCCACACAGCACACAGTGGCATTGCGACGCCCTGCTTCCACCGGTAGTTGCGTCCTTCTTGGCTCAAACAGCTTGGCTCAGCCAGCTGAACTTTGTCCGGTATCGAACCTCGGCGTGGAAGCCCAGCAACGCCCATCACAAAGCTCGACTCACGCAATCGGTTGACCGTCCAGGTGGTGGAAATCCATGCAAGGTGCCAATGAAAAGCATCCCAGAACCGCATGAGTTCTTCAAGGTCAACATACATGAGGTGCAATCTATGCAGTTTGAGCACAGTTGCGGGAAAGACCATTTGAAAGCAGTTGTGCATTGTTGGTTGGCCGCCTTTTCAAACATCCTTTTGTCAGAAATTCTGTTTGGCCTCCTTGTTCAATCTTGCCCTGCAAATGGGGGCTGCCAGGAAAGGACTGCAGCATATATCGCAAGAAGTATGCCATTTCTCATCTTCCTTGTTACTGTACCCGAGCTCAACTGGTCGTGCTCGCGAGCTTTTGCTGCGGAGAGATTTTGCAGAGTTACCAAGGTTTGTCTTTTGATTCTTGGAGTCCTGCGGTGCTAGGCTCATTTTGGACAATTCGTCTTTGCAAATGGAAGGTACTGGACAATTTGAAGGCTTTGCTCTTTCAAAAAATGAGGAATGCAGTGCTGCTGCTGACCATCACAGCAGCGCTCAATGTTGCGATGTGGCTCTGGGTGGTTTCAATGGCCCTCACTTGCATGTATGGAGTGATTCAATCGCAGGACCAGTACTGCACTGCAAAAGAAGAAACAACATACAGGCATAGACAGATGTGTAGGCCCGTAGGCAATTGGTTGCTCAGTATACTTGCAAACTGATTCCATTGGCCCCTCCTGTCTTCAGCGCGTTTTCTTTGGTGTCATGTCTCTTCTTCTTTTGTGGGACCTTGTGTCGATTGGACATCTTCGACAATGAACTTGCTGCGTAACCTCAGACAAACGGGCCACACCAGCCCACAACTTAAGCAGTGCTGTACTGTTCGAGGAATCAGTCGTGCCGTTGCGGTGGTCTTTATCACCTTGCACTTGTTTGGATGTGACTTCTTTGTTTCGTTGAAATGACGCTACTCGTACGAAGGCAACACTCACGGTGACAGCAACTGGCACTTGAACAGATTTATAAGTATATTCTGTCCCCAAGGCCCAAGGCATAGAAGTATGTATGATCTTCCAGGTTTTTGAGCTTGTCTCGCTCACTTGCCCGATCGTCAAAAACTTGTACTTGTAACCAGCAAGGTGAGATCACAGCAAATGCTGTAGCCTGTTCAGGTTCGGTGACGTACCAATGATTAATGGCAACGGAGTACTTACTGTAGTTCTGCGGTCGAGTCTTTGCCTAACTTGCATTCTGCAAATTGCGCCTTTGTGCTAACATTAATGTTGTATGTATTCTGCATTGTGCAACCACAAGGCCCTAACTTTGCTCTGACTCCTGCTTCTTATCACTGTGTTGTGAGCAACCCATCAAGTCGTGTATCCTAAAAAGGTTTCTATGTTCTATCACACTTTCTTGTGAGCGGCCAAACGATCAGCAGACATCGCTCCCCATGTGCGATTGGAAGAGGAAATGATAGATAATGCGAATGAGAAGGCTGGCGCTTTGGATGAATGCAATGTTGCAGTGAATGAGTTTGCATTTGCATGTGCATTTGAATCAGAGGAATCAGAAAGGCAACCGACGGAATCAAAGGCCGGCTGTGATTTGCACCATGTTTCTGCAGAGCTCAATCGGGCAGTGTTGGGGAGTCAGGGTTCAGATCAGAATGTCACCCGTACATCCCAGAGGTCACTGTGCGGCACATTGTCGTCATACCCAACTACAAGGACTATGTGCCTGAGTTTTGCTCGTCAAAGGTTCACTGCACCGTATTGGGTGACCATATTCCATGGGCAAAGAATGTTTGGTTGATAGAAAGAAGGTGCGCTGGACAAGACAGGGGTTTGGTGCTGAGCAAGGCTTCTGTTGGCCGTTTCACCAGCTGCACAGTTCTCCAGACAACCAACCGATCAACGGACCAACCAGAACTGACCGACCGGACAAACCAACCAGAACCGACTGGCCGCGGACTGACGGTCTCAATCGGCCACGCAAGTTGACGTGGCACGACACCTGGAATGAAAGGGCGCACGCAAAAGGATTCACAAGAATGTGCCATGGAAAATTGATTCCGGCGTCATCCTTCCATTTGGCTGCCCCTGGTATCCCGGTAAACCATATTTTGCTTTGCAACAGGATCAGCAAATCGTTTTGCCAAACCTCCAATCGCTCGAAGGCTGTGTTTGCTGCCCTTTGGACGGAATCTCATGTGACAGAGATGGTCTGACAGAAAGAGGAGAGTGCAACCAAGACAACCAAGCAAGCCACACTAGCTCACCCTTGTGTCCTTTGGGAACGCTGAGCTGACGCCAAGCGCACAACTGCGCAACAAAGCCGGCAATCCCTGCTGACCTTTTTTGCACCTCTCCACTCATGGTTTGAACCACTTGTGAACGAATGTACAATGTATGAGCTAGGATATATTGTCGGACACACTTCTTGAGGAAGAAGGATGATGCATTCCAGCTCATGTTCTTTCATCGTACCTTTCGGACAGGACTGAGTCCTTCATCAACCCATTTTTAATGCTTGTGGTGTCACGCCCCATTCGTTTGGATTTGCTACTTAGATACATAATGATGCCGCATGCACAGGGGGGACGCTTGTGTGGCCCCAAATCAAGAAAAGGAGTAAAGCTCCTGTGACCGGACGGTTCTGGGACCAGTTGTACCGTGACATAGTCATTCTTGAAGAACTAGACCACGAATGGCCCGGGAGCGTTGAAACACATGCACATATCGGGCGCTGATTGGGGGGCCCCCTGGGGGAGTGTTCCAAGACCTATTGAACTTAAAGTTGCTAGTGCTAATGTCAGCGCCCCCATATGCATATATATATATAGTTATGCATCACGTTTGGACGGCTTGGGTTTGCATTGTTCATCTCATTAGCTATGCTTCATTTAACATTTTGGCTCAAGGATTTCCCTTTGTGAGCCAAACTGGCTTTTGAAGCCCACCCGGCCCACCCTGAGAAGTCGGCCTCCCTTGTTGGTGCGTCCGCTTCTCTTGTATGTTCATTGCGAGCAGGGGCCTTCCGGGGGTTCCGGAACGACCTTTCCTCTTCTAGGTTTTTCACGGGATTTGTTAGTTGACTACCCCTACCAGTTGCAGAGGAACTGCATCTGGATGAACAGGGTATCCAATTAGGTCCATCCAGAACAGATCACTGTCAGTTGCAGAGTGCCTGCGTCTATTCCTGTGGAATCACAGGTTGTTCAGTCCACAGAGTGTGGAAAACCAGAAAGAATATTGGAGAAAAGAGCGGCAGACGGAAGCGCGAATTAGAGTAGCCTCTCTTCGAAGACGGCTAGTTGGAGATGTAAATAAATATATGCTCAAGTGTAGTGACTCGGGAAGAAGTTAAAGAAGGAAGTGAGGGAAACCATAGTTGCCATTCATCAGTTGAAACTGAATAGGAGGCACGGTACGGTACCTTATTGACTTGAAGGATAAAACACAATTGCAAAATTGATAACAACACCATGCTTTCAATGTATAAAGCCTACGTTAGGCTGAGGCATGATAGTATTACAGCACATAGTGTTAAGATTGCTGCTTTCACCATCAAGGCGGAACATGAAAAGAACCCAAGGAAATAATTGGACTTTATTCGTAAGATTCGGGGCTGGAGGGTGAGCACGTATGCGCATATTAAATTACCTAATGAACGATTGTACACATCGATGAGTGTTGTACACATCGATGAGTGTGATACTGATGAATTTGTTAGTAAAATGGAGAAAGTGAAGCAGAAGATTATTTGCAGGAGCAGGCTAAAGTCATATCTGCCAGAAAACTGTTGAGAAAGGCTACAAATCTATTTCATCCGTTTGGGTGCTTATTGGAAAGCCAAATAGTTTGTTGAGCAATACCTTTTTTGCAACAGGTGATGCCAAACAACTAAAGCCAGTTAAGGAGGCGACAAATACTAAAGATCATGAAACAATACGCTGATGCAATGATTGACCATATGTTTGAGACCATATGTTTGAGCAAAATATGTTGGTGATAGTATAAGAAGAGGATGAACAAAAGCTAAACAATATCAAAAGCTATAGGTTTGTAAATACAATCAACTGAACTGATTGGGAAATACTTTGGATATACTGACGTCAGCGTACAACACATCATACTTGAATACGACTTGTAAACATGTATCAAGTAAGATTAAGAAACTAGAAAGCAGTAAAACATGAATATGGAGTAGGTGAATTCTTGATATGCAGGGAGTACACCAAATCACAAACATGTGTTTTCACGGTAAATTGCAAGTACATTTTTTCATATTGGTACTGGCGCTACTACTTTAAGGAAAGCGAAAACAAATATGCTTCAATGACTAGAGGTTGACAACGAAAAACAAACTTCTTTTTTGCTTGGTGTTCAACTTGCCGTTCAGCTTAAGGTAGTCGCATTGGTGGACATATTACACTTTGATTCTAGCAGCTTAGCAGCTTTCTTGGAAAACATCATCTTAAATGGAACTGGGCCCTTTTCGTATGAGGTAAGATTCTGATGCATATGCAATGATGATTTTAATTGTACCAATGATGACTTTACTGCAAAATGCATTGTAAGCCGCTTTGGAAAAGATTACAAAATGCATGATGAAACAGCCAACAGAAAAGTACCAAACAAGGATACGTAAGTGCTCAGCAGTTCTTGGGCAATATCAATACTTAAATTAGTATATTTATTGTGGGTGTGGATTTCATATTGATATGAAAGGTTGAAATGTTATGAATAACTCAACTTGTCAAGGAGTTTCTAACCTTGAGCTTTGCTTACTGGATAATATACTCCCTTATTGTTGTAGATGTAGTTGTAGTTGTAAACACTTCTGTGCACAGATTTGGTCCAGCTTTGTCAACTGCGTGGACCCAGCTTCTTTACGCAGCGCTTCGAAGGCAATCGACATTTGTGCAAGGATGAGATGACGTGCGACAGCTGCTGCGTCAGAAGACATTGTTTATAAACATTTGTTGTCTTTATGAACTACCCCTCAAGCAAAAACAATAAATCCTCAACTAGTCCCAACAATGATTTGGAAACTATGTTCATCCTGCAAAGGTTTGGTCTAGTTTGAAAAACACTGTTCTCTTTTTTCTGGCCTTAGGATTGAGCATAGTTTCCAAATCATTGGTTGTTAGTTGTTTGTTTTCCTGGCTTGAGGATTGAGCATAGCGTCCAAAGCATTGTTTTTCTTTGTTTTTTGGTTTTCTGATGTTAGAACTGACCACAGTTTCCGGATCATTGTTGCTATTTTGTGTTAACGGTATCCCCAGCCCCCTAATCAGCGAGCGCCCGTATAAATAACTATTTATATATATATACTATACATAAGTTGTCATCAAAGGAAGTTTAGTGTAGAAAACTTCCGTGTTACGGACATTCAAGAACCACTCATGCACCACTCATCATACACCACTCATCAAAACATCACTCATCATACACCACTCATCAATACACCACTCTCACCAATACATCACTCATCAAAACACCACTCATCAAAACATCACTCTCATCAATACATCACTCATCAATACATCACTCTCACCAA